GGAAAAACTTTTTCACTAAGAGGGTAGTGAAACACTGGAATGCGTTACCTAGGGAGGTGGTAGAATCTCCTTCCTTAGAGGTTTTTAAGGTCAGGCTTGACAAAGCCCTGGCTGGGATGATTTAACTGGGAATTGGTCCTGCTTTGAGCAGGGGGTTGGACTAGATGACCTTCTGGGGTCCCTTCCAACCCTTATATTCTATGATTCTATGATTCTATGATCTTAAAACAAAAAAACTTCAAATCCAGACTCCAGCGAGAAACTGCTGAATTGGAATTCATTTGCAAATTGGATACTATTAATTTAGGCTTAAATAGAGACTGGGAGTGGCTAAGTCATTATGCAAGGTAGCCTGTTTCCTCTTGTTTTTTCCTAGCCCCCCCCCCCCCCAGATGTTCTGGTTTAACTTGGATTTAAACTTGGAGAGTGGTCAGTTTAGATGAGCTATTACCAGCAGGAGAGTGAGTTTGTGTGTGTATGGGGGTGGGGGGGATGCGAGAAAACCTTGATCTATGCAGGAAATAGCCCGACTTGATTATGTAGAGTTGTCACTTTGGATGGGCTAGCACCAGCAGGAGAGTGAATTTGTGTGGGGGGGTGGAGGGTGAGAAAACCTGGATTTGTGCTGGAAATGGCCCAACTTGATGATCACTTTAGATAAGCTATTACCAGCAGGACAGTGGTGTGGGAGGAGGTATTGTTTCATATTCTCTGTGTGTATATAAAGTCTGCTGCAGTTTCCACGGTAAACATCTGATGAAGTGAGCTGTAGCTCACGAAAGCTCATGCTCAAATAAATTGGTTAGTCTCTAAGGTGCCACAAGTACTCCTTTTCTTTTTGCGAATACAGACTAACACGGCTGTTCCTCTGAAACCTGTCAATTAAAAGAGGTAAACTATGGGGTGGAGCTGTCGAACTGGGCGCACCACGGCCAGGTGTACCATGTGAATATGATGAAGCCATATTATGACGGGGAAATGTGGTGCTGACCGTGTGTGGACATTGGGAGGAGCAAGGAGGGGACCCACTAATAGATCTATTCCCTGAGACAGGAACTGGCTCCTCCCAGGAAACAATTCCTGTCTCTGATCGGCCAACGCCTTCCTAGAAAGCTGAAATCAGAGGGGTGCTGCATCTGTACCAACAGCTGTTTTCCAACCAGCCTGGATGCACTAATCTGACTGTCCACCAGGTGCAGACAGGGTCGCACCTGTCTATAAGATGCTGCCTCTTCCGAGTCGCAGGGAAAACTGCTCAGGACCTGGAAAGAGATCAATGATATGCTGGCTTTGGGGGTGCTCCAACCCTTGGGCCTCACTGGTGGTGCTAGTCCCCAAAAAGGATGGGTTGGTCCGGTTCTGTGTGGACTATCGGAAGCTCAGTGCCATCACTGTATCTGATGCCTACCCCATGCCCAGGCCTGATGAGCTCCTAGACAAGCTGGGAGGAGCTCGGTACCTCACCACCATGGACCTTACAAAGGGCTACTGGCAAGTACCACTGGATGCAGATGCCCGGCTGAAATCGGCCTTTATCACCCCTTTGGGCCTCTGAGTTCCTGACCCTGCCTTCTGACCTCAAGGGAGCGCCGGCCACCTTCCAGCGCCTGGTGGACCAGCTACTGAGGGGGATGGAGAGTTTTGCCGTGGCGTATATTGATGACATCTGTGTCTTTCGCCAGACCTGGGAGGACCATGTATCCCAGGTTAGACAAGTGCTGGACCGACTCCAGGGGGCTGGGCTGACCTTAAAAGCAGAGAAGTGCAAGGTGGGGATGGCTGAACTGACCTACCTGGGCCACTGGGTGGGGAGCGGCTGCCTAAAGCCAGAACCAGCCAAGGTGGAGGTGATCTGGGACTGGCCCGCTCCCCACACCAAAAAGCAGGTACAAGCCTTCATTGAGATGGCGGGGTACTATCAAAGACTTGTGCCCCACTTTAGCGCCATAGCTGCCCCTATGCAAGAAGGGGAAGCCAGACAAAGTGGTCTGGACTGAGGAGTACCCGAAGGCTCTCTGTGCCCTGAAGGAGGCTCTGGTCAGGGGCCCGGTTCTGGCAAACCCAGACTTTGACAAGCCCTTATGGTGTTCACCAATGCCTGACACCAGGCTGGGGGCAGTGTTAATACCAGATGATGAAAAGGGGGAGGCACACCCCATCGTGTACCTGAGCAAGAAGTTGCTACCCCAGGAGCAGAACTACGTGACCAGCGAGAAGGAGTGCCTGACCATGGTGTGGGCCCTCAAGAAACTAGAGCCCTATCTCTTTGGGTAACACTTCATCGTGTACACCGACCTCTCCCCTGACCTGGCTACACCAGATGAAAGGAGCCAACTCCAAGTTCCTGAGGTGGAGCCTGTTCCTGCAAGATTATGACATGGACGTGGTCCATGCAAAGGGAAGTGCCAATATCATAGCGGATGTGTTGTCCTAGAGAGGGGGCCCCAAACTTCTCCAGGTCACTGGTCAGAGTGACCCCACTCAGTTCAGTCTCAAAGTGGGAAGAGATGACCTGTGAATGTGGCAGGGGAGTTTCAGTGGGGATGAGCTACCTGAGAGCCCGTAACCTGAGCCAGGAGGGGGTTGGGGGCCAGGTGACACCTTTTGCCCAGAAAACTGGACAAAGGCTGGTGGAGGAGCTGGGGGGAGGCTGGTTGGGATGCTCAAGGGTTTTTCTTTCAGTTTGGAGTGGGCTAGGGAAGAGGGGAGAGCCCCAAAGCTGGGGTCTAAGCCAGAAGGACCTGCCTAAGGGGTCCTGTTCATGCCTACAAACTCTGGGTTGGATTGTGTTCCTGTTGTCTCTAAGAAACCTGCTGTTCTACTGCCTAGCTGAGAGTCACGGTGAATATGAATCACAGGAAACAAGGGTACAGGACCCTGACTCCCCCTGCTTTGTAACACCAGGCTACACTCAGAATTTAGGTCACCAGCGCTATGGCCCTCAGGGGTGTGGAAAACCCACATCTGAGCATTGTAGCTATGCTGCCCTAAGCCCTGGCGTAGATGTGGCTAGATCAACGGAGGCGTGCTCCCATGGAGCCAGCTCCAGGAGCTTGGGCAGGTTCTTTTCTTCCCTCACGCTAGGGGTCTGTACCCCAGGACTATGGCGGTGTAGCAACGGCACGTACTCTAGTGCTACAGCTCTGGTCGGCTAGACAAAGAGAATGCTCAGTCCTGACAAGACTTCGGAGTGCAACACTGCAATGCTCTGCAGCAGCAGGTAGCCACGGGGGGTGCACATGAGCTGATGTATTAGGAATGGGTTTTTCCTTAATTGGGGGGGAGAGGATTGCAGGACCTCTAGGAGCTTGAGTAGGAAAAGGACAGAAGGACTGGACACAGCCAAATCAACAGCAGGTAAAACTAGAGTCCCTGCCCTAAGCCAGAGGTACCTGGGCATTACAAAAGCCCCAATACTGGATGGGGGTTAGGATCCCAGCCCTGGGGGTCTGGAGTGAGGTCATCCCCCATGTGTACAGCTGCTACACAGTCTGACTTGCAGGGGAGACTGCATGGGATGCTAGAGCCTATGTTGCAGCAGGGGACAGCCCCAGGCGTATCATACTAGCTCTGTTCTGCCAGCAGGGCTGAGTTGGCCCCTTCCACAAAGCTCTGCCTAGGCCCCTTCTTCCTCTGAGCCTGGCTGGCTATGGCAGTATTCTTGCCCCCTCCAGTTTGGCTGGCTGCCTGTTCAAGCCACTCACTTGTGCTCCTGTACCCACCACCCTCCCTGCTGCCACTTCATGACTGTCTCCCTCACGGCTCTCTCCTTCCCCTCCCTCCCCTTTCCATTAAAGCCAGGCGTTATTCAGATCTAGGCTCGTAGCTGGGCTGAGCTACAGCTGCCGTATGGAACAGTAACTGACCACTTTGGCCCCCGCAGCAGTATCATGGCCTGCAGCATTTGCTAGCCATGGGGCTTCGGGTGCTCCCATTGCTGATACTGGGGCACAGCTGCCCCTGCCCATTTGTTTCCAGCCACACCCTTAGGAGGCATGACTGCAGAGCACTAATGCTCCTATTTAGCCCCCGTATGCTGGTCTCTACTCTCAGCTGGGCAAGGTCAGCCAGAAGTGAGCGAGACAGACCAGGCTGTGAGTGCTCCAGAACCAGCAGCAGCCCCAGCTCCGTAGTGTGCTGTACAGCCTCACTTTCACATCGCGACGGGGAGGGGGTGACCCAGGGCCTCCACCTAGCTTGTGGCCTGGCCCAGGGCTTTAGACTCTGTCACTTCAGAGGGAGGGTTGATTGTCTACCTTTATCCAAGCTGCTAGAGCAGCTGTACGCAGGCTGAGGCTTGCGAGCCCCAAGTGCCTCTTTAAGGTGTCATCTGAGACTTTTTGCAGACCATGCCATTAGAACACTGATCTAGCTCACAGCACCCTCCTCCTCAAGATAGCACTTTTCATTGCTAGCTCTCGAAGGACTTCACAATCTTTAATGTACAGCACTTCACAGCCCCTGGGAGATGGGAAGCATTATGCCCATGTCACACATAGCCCACTCAGGCTCAGTGACTTGCCCAAGGCTCCCGGGGAAGTCCACGGTGGAGCAGGGTCTTGAACATCCCTCATCCTAAGCCTGAAGGGGATCAGCTCGTTACTTTAGAATAACTTCACTTACCCCTACACAGTGCTGAGCTCTCAGCTCTCTCTAGGAGCAGGGGGGGGTGTTGTAGCAGCCTTCCTCAGGCTCTAGGCTAGCACCCCTGCCAGGATGCGGCACTTGGATTGTCCTGACACCGCAAGGAAAAGGGAGTCAGCCTGGCCCAGAAAGCTACACCTGGGAGAGCGCCAGATAAGGAGAGAAGAAAAACATTTGGACTAAACCAGTTGGAGAGATGACACAAGTGACTGAACAGCTCACAAGGGGCTTTCCCCTTCCCATGAATCGAACTCAAGGGGACACCTCAACGGATACTGCTGGGGGAATTCTGCACCAAAAAGTTTTTAAAATGCTGCATATTTTTTGTCAAAACAACACAATTTTATCACACCAGCTTCAGTTATTTTGGTAATTTATTTCAAAATACCAGTCAGCAAGTATGTCTGTAACAACACAGACAACCATGATTTCCTCAGGAGTAGAGAGCTAAAGAAACCCCTACAACAACCCAATTCCTGTTTCACTGTAATTGCTTTTGTTAGGCACCTCAGTCTGGGTGTATCACATATGCGAACTGGGCACATCTTGGGGGAACACTGTACCCCTTGGGTCTCAGATACCCACACCCAGAACCCAGCTGCAGGACACCGAGATTCCAGAGAGAAACAGCCTGATGCTGGGTCCCAGGCTTGTATGGTGTTTCCTACATGTTGCCCCCTTCCTTTAGGGCATGCTGGGAAACACAGCTGCCCCAAACCCTCCAGTTTCTTCCCTGCCCCTCTCCCACCCATGTCCTGTACAGTAACTCCCCACTTAAAATCCTCTCGCTTAACGTTGTTTCGATCTTACATCCCTACTCCATTACAGAACATGCTCCGTTTAAAGTTGTGCAATGCTCCACTATAACATTGTTTGGCTGCCTGCTTTGTCCACAGCTGGCAGCTCCCCTACAGCACCTCCTGCCCACTGGCAGACCCCGCGGATCAGCACCTTCCCCCTGCTCCCAGAAATCAGCTGGTTTGCCACGTTCAGGAGGGAGGAGTGAGGACTCAGCACGCAGGCTCCCCGTCTCTCCTGAACACCACAAGCCAGCTGATTGCTGCAGGCAGGAGAGGAGCGAGGACACAGCATGCAGCGTAAAGGGGGGGAAGGAGGAAGAGAAGAGGCGGGTTAAGGCTGGCTTGCAAATCCTTAGTGATGATGATCCTGAAAACTCCAAAGCGATTGGGGGAGTTGGTCATCTAATGATTTGCTATCAAGAAATTTACCAAGAAAAAAAAAAAAAAAAAGGAAAGCAAAACAACAATCTCTAGCTGTTGTTTTTCGAGTTCAGAAAGTTCAGCAAGAGGAGCAGCCAGACAATCTACCTTCTTCCACTCTCTGACTCCACCACCTCAACCAAGCTTCATACTCAGCAATGATTGTAGTATTAAAATGCTTGTTTAAAATGTATGTAGTCCCTTTTGTCTGGCAAAAAAAAAATCCCTGGAACCTACCCCCTCTCTATTTACGTTAATTCTTATGGGGAAATTGGATTCGCTTAACAACATTTTGCTTAAAGTCGCATTTTCCAGGAACAGAACGACAACGTTAAGTGAGGAGTTAATGTATTTGAGAGCTAGAGAGCTGGGCTCTTCTGGGTCCGGTGGCCCCTAGTGGCAGCCAGAAGCTCTGCAGCACCATTTCTCCAGGGGAAAATGAAATTCTGCACAGAACATTAATTCTGTGCAAATTCTGCATTGGCACAGAATTCCCTCAGGAGTAAACAGACCACATCGAGAATCCACAAAACCACAAGCGGTGGGACACTTGGCCAAAAGACTGAGGCAAAGAGTTTAGCTCAAACCAGGCCTTAAATAGATAAGGATATCCAGAGTTGCATTAAATAAGGACAACCCCTCCCATCTTCAGTGGCTGAACTGACCACTCCTGCTTCCACTGGGGGCAGGGGAAATGTGTGTCCATCACTGGCCGCCCCACCAACTAGCACCTTCTCTTGTCATTATCAGGTACTGATCTCTGTCACAGTCATGATACAGAACTAGAGTGCTGGGCACGGCCGATTGTTAAGTCCTTTGTTGCTAGCCTAAGGTGGATGGGCAATAGGGTGCACGGTGGGAGGGAGAAGAGAGCCTAGGAACATCAGCGTTCCCTGAGTCTATTAAACCCAAGGTCCATCTCGCCCAGTGACCATAGCCAGCGGTTTCAGAGGAAGGTGTAAGAACCCCACAGTAGCATGTGTGGGATAACCTGCCTCCCAGAGTAGGCCCCATGCTGGTCCCTACTAGCTGGAGATAATCTTAAACAGGTTTTAATCACTTCCAAAATGTACCCCTGCTGCTACTGTAAGCTACTCCCGCTAGCCATCGAAGCATCCCATCCCTTTTGAACCATATTAAATCCTGGCCTCAACCATTTCCTGTGCCAGCGAGTGTCCTCAATCTACTGACATATTCTGCTCCTTCCATTTACCCCCACTCCGTGGCGCTGCGCGGCTGGTAGGAGCCTGGGCCAGGATTTTCTTACTATCTACCTGACCTGCTTTACCACTCCCCCTTCATCCCACCCTTGCCTAAAGCTGGGAGAGGAGAAAGGCCCTGGTCCGCAGGCATTGGGAGTGCACATGGCTGCTAGCTCAGCAGCTGGCACATGCCAGCGTCCTGCCCCTGGGAACAGGAATGGTTCCTCTCACACACCCAGCAGCTGGAGGACGTTCCTGAGTGCAGACTCTAGGGGAAGCACATGCAGGCAGCTTGCTGGCTCTCTACACCAGCCCAACTCTGGCCAAAAGCCAAAACACCTTGGCAGCTATTCCCTTCTCCTGCCGGAGGTTTGGTTCCTGCCCCATTTCTGCCCCAGCAGTTGCAGAGAAGGACCCTCATGAGCAGCAGCACCTGGTCTGCACCCTGCCACCCCAAATGCTTTGCTCTGTACCTAGGCTTCAGCCACAGGTCTGGTATTTGCTCCCTGCTGACAGCGGCTGTGTGGGTTTGGGGGTGGAGATGCTTTCAGCTGTGGTTCCCACCTAGAGTTGTCAACTCTCCCGGCTTGGCCACGAGTCTCCCAGAATCAGCCTCAGGCTCCCGGAGGCTACTGAAACCAATCTGGGAGATTTTAATAGGCTGCTCAAAGTCCGGTGGCACAACAGGGCTAATGCAGGCTCTCTACCTACCTTGTCACCGCATGGTTCCCAGAAGCAACCCGGTATGTCCTTCTGGATTCTAGGCACAGGGGTGGTCGGGGGCTCTGCATGCTGCCCCCACTCCAAGTGCCAACTCCACAGCTCCCAGCGGCTGGGAACCGCAGGGGTGGTACCTGCGGGCAAGGGCAGCATGCAGAGCCACCTAGCTGCCCCCGAGCCTAGGAACCGGACATGTCAGTCACTTCCGGGAGCTCTCCAAGGTAAGCACCGGGCAGCCTGCACCCTTCATACCCTCCCGCACCCCAACCCCCTACACTCTGAACCTCTTGGCCCCACCCCCAGCCCACACCCCCTCCTGCACCCCAACCCAGTGAAAGTGAGTAAGGGTGGGGGAAAGTGAGCGACGGGGGGGGGGAATGGAGTGAGTGGGGGGTGGGGCCTTGGAGAAGGGGCAAGGTAGGGGTACGGCCTCAGGCAGGACAAGCGTGTTTGCGTTTGTGCCATTAGACAGTTGACAACCCTATTCCTGTCCTTACCATTGCTCTTCCCAGAGTGCTCTGAGAGTCCAGCTGCAAACGATTCCAGTATCTGCTGCCTTGTTAACTCCCTCCTAGCCACAAGCAGCTGCCCCCAAGGCAGCAAGTTCACTGCAGATGCCTGCTGGCTCCCTGGTGTTCTGCTAGGGCCAGGCACTTCTCTTAGGAGCTTTCAAACCCCCCCCCCCAATCTCCGTCTAGCTCAGGCAAGGCTGGGAAGGGTCACTGAGTTCACACTAAAAAGAGATCCTGGAAAACAAGAGGGTAGAGCCGCTTCTCCTTCTGTCTTTATTTCTGGAGATACACAAAAGCAGCCTGGCTTGGGGGGGGGGGGGGGTGCTCAAGGCCCTCTGCTTCCCCCACAGGATGCATACCAACAAGGCTTTGACTACAGCCAGAGTGGGAGATGCCCACTGAGCAGCTGCTGCGCTATTCCTGAGCGCAGGAACAGGCCCCTATGCCCTCCCAGTGGAAAGACTTACAAGGCACAAAGGGCACTGCTCTGGGAACCTGCACAAGGGACAGCAGGGCCACTGGCAGGAAGAGGGCTAGGGCCATGCTCTGACCTCCTCCCACTGTGCACATGGCTGCTGGGCTTCAGTGCCCAATGCCACAGCAGTGAGGGAGCAAATTCCAGGGGAGATTATTGCTCCAGACTTGAGTTTACATGTATTAAGCAGAGGGAGTCAAAGCACAGCTGCTCCCATGCTGGACCAAGCCACAGCCTGAAGAGGCTAGCTCTCGAGCAGCCAGCAGAGGCATAGGCTGCCACAGCTGGAATAGATTCTCACCCCACAGCCAGCCAGGAAAGAAGGGTGCAGGCAGGCAGGCTGGGAGCATGCGCTCTGGGAATGGCTTTTCCCAAGTGTCAGCATGGCCCATGTGTGTGCAAGGCACGGGGTGAAAAGGGTCAGCTAGTGCACAGGAGCAGTAGGCTCAGCCTCACATTCAAGTAGTAACCAGAGGGGTACCTGGCCCTGCACCCAGCCTACCTGTCCTGGAGTGCCGGAGCTCTCAGTGCAGGGCCCAGCATCCCCTCGCTACGCATACTGGAGCTGGGAGGGAGCAGTGCAATGAAATGGAATGAAGTGGCAAGGACAGATGGTGAATGGGGAGGACCCGGGGTCCTTGAGGTGGGAGTGAGGCCCAGGGCCTTACACTCCTTGGCAGCAGTGCTGAGAGCAGAGGGGCACAGGGAGCACCTAGAGTCAAAGGGAGAGCGACTCCCCTCAGTCACACAGGGCCCAATACATGGCAAAGGTGGGGTGGGCTCCATGTTTGGTCCTACTCACCATGGAGCAGCCTCCTGGGGCAGGAAGGGGGCCCTGGTAGAAGAGGCAGACAGGCACTTATGGGGAAGTTCCTTTGGAGACAACGGAGCAGGGCTGTAACCCCTCTACCAGTGATGCAGGTGGCTGCCCCTCTGCTCATGTGGCAGGAAGCAGCAGGAGCCTCCCCTGCACTGGTGGGAGCAGCTGCCCAGAGCAGAAGGGCCACGCCTGAAGACAGACAGGGCAGCAGGAAGCGGGGCTGGGCACTTGGGGTACAACAGTCTGTAGGCACTTGATTTGGCTAGTAACACCCAGGAGCAGGGGGACAGTCCCAGCTACCTCTGCCCCGGGGCTCTCATTGGCTCTGGGAGGGCCTGGCCCTCTAGTTGGTTTTGACTTTGCCGTTGGTGACAGCGCTGTTCTCGTGCAGGCTGCTGCCGTTGTGCTGGAGCGGGGCTGGGTAGTGGGCCCCCTTGGGCAGCCGCTTGCCCTTGGTGTAGGAGTGGTACCAGAAGTTGGAGAAGAGGATGAAGAAGATGGTCCCATAAATCCAGATGAGGTGGATGAAGATGGGATACTGGTACTGGCAGCTGGGCATGAAGTAGTATTGGGAGATGTGGATGGAGACGATCACGAACTGCGCCTGGCAGCCAGCGTGGAGTATGTGCAGCGGGGAGAGGGAGGCAGAGAGGGGACTGGTTACTCATGAGGGGCCGGGGGGGGAGCATCTCCACCCGAGCTACGCCCCCTCCCCCAAGCCCATGGGAGAGAACAGATTCACACAGGGCACCACCAAGGTGCCCCTGGCCAGGGCAAAGGCCCAGCCCTTCCCAAAGCAATGCATGGAGCTGCAGACCACCGCTGGCCACAGCCCCCAGACAGGCGCAGCCTGCTAAGGCTCTCCGTGTGGGACGGACACAGCCCCATCTGAACTCTATAGTGAGGAGTGCTGGCCCTGCCAGAGGCTGGCATGGATCATTTCCTGAGCGACCCTGCCCCCATGCTGTGCCTCCACTGGCCCCCACAGAAACACCCAGCTCCAGGGTGCATGGGGCATTTGCGGCTGCCGCACAGCGCCAACTCACCAGCTGGACAGCTGTGATGTGCTTCTTCCACCACAGGTACTTCTGACAGGCAGGCCCTGCCGCCGAGAGCCCATAGTAGGAGTACATGACGACGTGCACCATGGAGTTGACCATGGCATGGAAGGAACCCATTCCCCCTGCCGGGCAGAGAAGAGGTAATTGTGCTGGGGGCCACTCCCACGCTCTGGTGCTGCGCCCCCCCACCTAACAGGGGCACAGGCTCCATGGCTCATGGATGACCTTACTGCTGCAAGCCAAACTGCACTACAGCCCTGCCCATGCCCACGCAGGGCTCTCAGCCCCCACAAATGGGGAATAATGGGTGTGAAGAGTGGGTAGGGAAGGGGGTTTGACTCAGCCACTGGCTGAGAATGGGGGCAGCAGCCAGGTGTGGGAAGACTGTGCATGCACTCCTACAACAGCAGTGATAAGATCTGTCCTTGTTCCCCGTGGGCCCTGCAAGGGAAGAAGAGCCCTGAGGCCAGCGGGGCGGTGTAGGCCTCTCACTGGGAGACTGGGACCAGATCTCCTCTCCCCTCACTGCAGGGCAATTCAGTGTGCAAGCCCTCACCTGGGCCAAATTTAGCCCCCCACCACCAGCTCCAAGGCAGGACAGAATGGTGGAAGAGGTGCAGGAAGGTGATCTGCTCATTCTTCTTGCGCAGGACGAAGATCACCTAGAAGCAGAGAAGCAGGTGGGTGGCCGAGTCAACAGAAGCTGGAGCAGGTGGGACAGGATGGCTATTGAAAATGCAGGATTCCGCCAGGGCTCTCGGGAATCTACAGTGAATGCAGAGGCTCCAACAGCAGGGAGGGTCCTTCCAAAGCTAGGGTGATATGTTGGGGAGAACCCACTGCCAGGCACTTCTTGTCCTGCATCCTGAGAACATCTGATTCAGCAGCCACCAGGGCTGATGGTGACAGGCTTACCTGGGTGGTGCCAATTCCCAGTAATCAGTGACTACCTGCACAGCCATCAGGGAAGGTGGAAAAACTGCAACCTGCCCCCACTCAGGAAGGGGAGAGCCTGGTACTGGCATGAAAGGAAGTGTTCACCTCCCATGGGCTGGGCTTATTGTTTGGATGGGTCCTGGCTCCCCCACACTCATTTCCAAAGCCCAAGAGAGGAATCTCTCGTCACTGCTTCAGGGCAATGACCTGGCATGAGGTGTAGGGAAGCCCCATCACTGGCTATCAGCCAGGATGGGCAGGGACACAACCCCACGTTCTGGATGTCCCTAAACCTCTGACTGCCAGAAGCTGGGACTAGATTACAGGGGATGGATCACTCAATAAATTGCCCTGCTCCATTTACTCTCTGAAGCACCTGGCAAGACAGGGTATGGGACTAGGTAAGTCATTGGTCTGACCCAGTGTGGCCGTTCTTATGAAGCTCATTATTCCCAGTCTCTGTATTTTTCCCCCCCACAGGCACTGCTGAGGCCCAGCACGGGGGTCTGACCAGGCTTATTTGGATTTGCAAAACACTCTAGAAAATTTGGAGTGCTGGGGGGAGAGTGAGGCCAGGGAGAGGGTGCCCGATTACCACTCCCCGAGGATCCATCACTTACCGTGTCCGTCAGCTCAATGAACTTGGAGAAGACAAAAAGCCAAGATACACGGACCATCTGAAACACGAAGAGTGCGTGTGTGTCAGAGACTTAGCCATGCCCACCCAGCTCTGCCCTGGGGCAGGGTCCCCCACTCACCTGCAGTCCAACCCTCCCAGACTGGTTCGTTTCCTGCAGACAGCGAGGGCCAATGAGCATCGGGGCGGTGAGACTTTCCTCTGTGGTTCAGCAGATGGACCCCTGGGGTTCTGCAATCCCATACCTGGCACACGTACCCCAAACTCTGGAGGGCACTGCCTCTTTATTCAGCTCCGTGCTGCTGGGTTATAAGCCACAGGAGACACCCAGCCGCCATCTTGGGCCAGAGGTCCCCAAGGCCAATGGCTATGGTAACAGGAAGGAAGCAGTTGCATGCTGCCCAGGGCCTGTGATTAAGGGCCCCATTCTGCTTGCAGCAAGAGAGAAGAACTTACCCGAAGGGCCTTGGGGTCCTGGGAAAAATCCACAGGGTCACATCTCCAGGTGTATCCCGTCAGCCAACCTGCCATCAGGAACTGCAGCAAGGGGACACCACCAGACCAGGTTCAGCACACACTACGCCACCATGCCCACCCTCCCCCTCAGAGAGACGGCAGGCTGAAGCTCCCAAGGCAACCACAAGGGGGTGCCTCAGTCACTGGGCAGCCAGGTGCCCTCTGCCCAGCAGCTCGGGTTCTCCAGGGGCAAGGACTGATGGCACAGGTGCCTGGCACAGACTGCACGGCCGTTGGAACCTCACCTCATAGACTATGTAGAGTGAGAGGCCCACCAGGAAGAAGTTGTAGACCACCATGAACTTCTTCAGGTCTAAGGGCTTCCTGTTCGCCATCAGCCAGGGGCCCAGGGACAGCACAAAGTAGACATAGCCCAGCAGGATCCCCATCATGAGGAAGGGCGACTGCATCAGGGGATACTCAGCTATGCGGGGGTCTGCAGGGAGAGGAACAAAGGATGCGGGTAAGGACGAGACCACCCCCCAGCCCGAGTGCCTGCTTCCCTTTCCCTGCAGCCTCGACTCTGCCACTGACCCACAGCGTGGCCCTTTGGAGACCCCCTGCTCCTCCTGGGCAATCATGGTTACACGGCGCTCAGGGAGGGAGGTGGTTGGGAGCACCTGATGAACCCCAGTAATTCCTAATGCACACCAGGCTCCATGGTAGCCACAAACCACTTTGGGTGAAGGCTCTACTCCAGGACTTCTCCCCTGCCCCTCAGATGGCATCACAATATCATGGAGGCACTAAGAGCAGGAGCAGCCCAGGACACCCGAAGCAGAGCAGGGGTCCCACAGTGTGGCTCAGTAACGGGGGCACCCCAAGGGCATCAGGATCACAGAGCAGGGGTCCCGGACGCAGCATGGCTCAGTAATGGGGGCACCCCAAGGGGAATCAGGGCACAGAGCAGGGGTACCACAGCATGGCTCAGTTCCAGCGTGAATTCAAGAGCTGTGGAACTGGATTCCAGTGGGTGTGGTGATGGCCAGCAGGCAGGACTAGTCAGCTTCCATGGCACCCAACTCTCTGGCCAGCAGCTGGGCATGGAAGGAAGATCTCACCTGTTCCCTTCATGAAGTCCCGGTACATTGTTACAATCGCTTCCATAGCAGCTGGAGTTCTGCAGAGAGTCAGGGAAGGGTCAGGTTTTCTGGGCTCAGGATCCCCAGCTCTCTGTGGTGAGCACTGAGCCTGCCGATTTACCCAGGGTGCGAGCTTCACCGTAAAATGTGAAAGTTCACCAAGTGCCACAGTAACCTACAATAATAAATGTGATGGGAAAAGGTACACAAGGGAGATTTGTTTGAATGAATTCACTTTGAGGCCCATTAACGTGGTGCCTCTCAACCTTTCCAGACAACTGTACCCCTTTCAGGATATTGATGTGTCTTGTGTACCCCCAAGTTTCACCTCACTTAAAATCTACTTACTTACAAAAATCAGACCTAAAATACAGAAGTATCTCATCACATTACTGAAAAATGCTTACTTTCTCCTTTTTATCACGTAATTATAAAATAAATTGATTGAAATGTAAGGGCAATAGTTATATTCCAGTGTATAGTACATAGAACAGTATAAACAAGTCATTGTCTGTATGATATTTTAATGTGTACTGACTAGTGCTTTTTATGTAGCCTGTTTTGTAAAACTAGGCAAATGTCTAGATAAGCTGATGTCCCCCTGGAAGATATAAGAACGGCCACACTGGGTCAGACCAAAAGTACATGTAGCCCAGTATCCTGTCTTCTGACAGTGGCCAATGCCAGGTGCCCCACAGGGAATGAACAGAACAGGTAATCACCAGGTGAATCCATCCCCTGTTGTCCATTCACAGCTTCTGGCAAACAGCGGTTAGGGACACCATCCCTGCCCACCAAGACCTCTGGGGGTACCCCTGGTTGAGAACCATTGCACTAATACATCTCAATAATGGAGTTAAAATTATGCCATGTGAACAAGAGAAGTGTGGGACTGGAACTCAATGGACCAAAGTTGGCGCACTGGAAGTTCGCCCTAACGAATGAGCAAAATAATGAGGGACGGGCTATTCCACCCACCATCCCTTCTGGAGTCCTTAAAATAAAAAGGGGTTTTTTTTTGTTTGGGGAAGGGGGAGAAATGAAAAAGCTGTCTGACAAAACCCCTGGCTGACGGAAAAGAGGAAGACGCCTGCTTCATCATCAGATCTGCCATCCCCACTGGGATCCCAGGAGGCATCACACCACCACTGGGCCCTCATAGTCCTGATCCTGATGATGTTCGTAGCTACTGGTGTGGTGCTCTGCTCTTGTTCGATGATGGTAACAACAGTCGGCTGCGTGCGTGTTCCCTCTGTGTGCTGCCCCAGCTCTGCGCAGATAGCTGACACAGCAGACCCCAAGAGAACCCCCCAAAACCAGACTCTAGCAAGGTACGAAGGAACGCGAGCCAGGTTTACTGTCAGATGAAGCACAGTGATAGTTCCCTATAGACTCTACATGGCATACTACGAATATGTGCCCCCTGGCAGTGGACACAGCTCAGTCAGGGGCGGGACACTCTACTGCCCCCTAGGCTGGGCAAAGGTGTGCACTCCCGGACCAACTTTTATACCGTTGCAAGACGGATTACTCCTCTACTTCAAACGAATCTATCCATCATGTTGTCCTTTTGACGCTGTCTTTAAGATGCACCTGCCTGTTCCTTCTTATGTCTGTGGAGTGTTTTGATGCCGTTTTGCTGCAAGTTCCTCTTATTAGCCCTTACGTGTATGTGTGTGCACGTGCTTTTAACAACCTTTTCTTGCCAACTTCTGTGAGTGGGACCTGCCTCTGGCTCGCAGCCCAGCTTTGCTTAACACTGCCTGGAGGTACTTTGGTTCAGGCTTCAGGCCTCAGACACAAGAATTTATGTTTCAGGACCTCCTCTTATTACACCTGAGAGCTGTCCTGACCAGACCAGGCCAGGGAGAGGGACCCAGATCACAGCATCACCTCCACCAACTTTGGCCATATCCCCAATGTCACCTGGAATGTAAGAATATGTCATCCCTCTCTTCCCTCCCACCCATGTGTCCTTCCTTCCTCACCTTACTTCTCTCCTCTCCTCTCTAATCCGTCTGGCTTAACCTGCCAGACTGTCAATTTTGCAACATGGCTGTGAGCCTGTAACAAAGAGACAAACAAAAGCAATGTCCTAAACAGCCCAATGCTGGTACAAGTTTGCCAGGCCTCAGAATGGTTAATGGAGTCAAGTGCCAGGCCTATGTTTCCCCAGCAGCCAGGCTGCAAGTGAGTCAACAGCAAAGACAGAAGCTGCATTTTCTGTCTTTGCTGTTTTCTTCTCCCTTCACTGGTTTTGTCTGGTCTTTTCTTTTGGAAAGCAGGAAAAAGTGCTACCAGAAACAGCAGCGCCAGCACCATTCAGCTGCCTCCTTCTCTTTCCCCCCCAGAAGGGCTGAGAGACCAAGCACCAGGTTTCCCTTTTAAAAATTCTATTGCTAAAAACCCAAGGGGAAAGAAAGAAAAAGAAAAAAAAGGGGGGTGGTTAAAAGAGAAGCCTCACTTAATGCGTTAGCTGTTTCTCTTTTTCTGTGTCTTTAATAAAGAGATTTCTAATACTGTTTGCACCATAGTCTTATGCAGGCTGAGGGCTCTCTAGCCAAACCCCAAGCCTTGTTTAAAATTGAACAGCGCCAGAGTCGTGCTAACACCTTCCCCTGCATCATGCAGATGAGGTCGCTTGCCAGGATTATCTGGGTATCTCACGGAATCATTTCCCTGCCATTGCAGGGGGTCCGAGCACTGGTGCGCCTCAATCCCCCCCATTCTCTGCCTGTGGCACATCCTAGGCTAGTCTTTTGTGGGTCTCGTTTTGGTTGCTGGGCAAGCGTGTGGCTGCTGGTGGTCTGTGATACACAGGTCAGCCTAGATGAGCCGTCAGGCTCTACTTAAGACACTGGAAGAGCCCAGCTGCAGCACCACCGGCTCCTCCCCATCAGGCTGTTCTCAGCCTGCTCCGTGCTGCACAGCTCAGCCCCTGCCCGTGGCAGTACTGAGCCATATGCGGCCCAGGCCTCTGTGCCATTGCGCAGGCAGGGCTCAGTGCCAGTCACACCTAACAGCTTCACTCTGTTCGCTGCAGCGGAGAAGCCACTTGCACCAACCCAGTCCCCAGAGCTGGGCCATCTGCACCCCACAGCGCTACCTTCCCCCTCCCCATGCAAAAGGGGCTTCTTCCCAGACCCTGGCCATACCCGATCCTTCACACGCCCGAAGAGAGACCTCAGCCCTCCATGTGGCTTCAGCCCGATTCCCTCACCCCACTCCTTCAAGCACTCACCCAAAGCCAGTCAGGGTGATCCCACCCCTCACACAACAGAGCCAGAACAGTGCCACGGCACCACCACCCCTCCCTGCTGCTCACGTACCCATCAGCTGGAGGTCTGAGCAAAATGAAGTTATTCCTGCCAGGACATGGGCAAAGAAGGGAGGGGCCACAGCACATGGGCCCTGGGACATCAATGGCCACTAGAACGCTGAGCATAAAGCTTTGAGCTTCTGCAGGCCCCAGCCAGGGAGGGACACAGCCCCCGGGCAGCAGCACCCAAGGCAGAAGAGCAGCAGGGCTGGGTGAAGGCTGCCAGCTCAGACAACCGGATACCAGCTTGCTGGTGTCCAAATCCCATGCACGGCTCCCCAGGACCTACCCCTGGCCTTGGAGGATGCTAGCCACACAGCCCCAGCACTTCCCAGCCCACAGCGCTCCTATTGACCTCATTCCAGCTCCCCTCTGGAGGAACAAGATCATCTCCAGTGTGAAGCTGCTGCACTGCCAGACAGTCGTCCACACAGCTCACTCTACCAAGCACACAGCAAGCCAGATGCTCTCCTGGAAATGGGACAGCAGGCGTGGAACAGCTCTGAGGACAGTCATCTGCAGTGCCCTCCTCCACCTGCCTGAGGGGTGAGTGGGACAGGAAGGGAGGGGAGAGTGTGCCTGGCATAGCTCTGACACACTCAGTCAGAGCCAGCCCAGAGAGGGAGCTTCCACAGCTCTCCTGCCGAAAGACACACTCCACCCACCCACTTTCTACAGACAACAGCCCTCCTCTCTGCAGCCACCGGGCAGGGTAGGCCCCAGCCTCTGGCACAGTGAAGGGCCCCAGTGAAGGCACAGACAGACCCCACAGGATGGGGGATGCCAGCCCCCAGCACCCAGGCAGGGAGGACACTGGCACATAGGAGAGATGGCACTGAGCTCTCTCCTAGAGAATCACTGCTCGGCTCACAATGCCCACCCCACGGGCAGCAGCTCCTCCTCCACGGGGTAGTTACAGCAAGAGTGACCCCACCCCACCAATCTGTATAGCCACTGCCCCCCTTCAGCATCCACCTCTGGTGAGCTGTCTGGGGCCAGGGTGTTTGGGGAGGGCGACTTGTTCAATCCCCCCACCCCCACGGCACCTACGTGAGGGCTTGTCTTTGCTACAAAGTTCACCCAAGCTCCTTTGCTGCAGGAAGGTGAACTATGAATTCTGCCCAGCGAATTGTGGAAGAGTTGGTCTGTCCTGGTGGGCATGGGGGAGAAGGGAATCGTGGGAAGGCACTGGAGGACGAGGGGCATTCATGTGGCGCTAACAGGCCATTCTGCGCTCTGGACACACGCTAGCACGACTCACATTAATAGATTCCAAGCCCAGAAGGGACCATTGTTGCTCTAGTCTAACCTCCTGCATCACACAGGCCAGAGCCCTGCCCTGTATTAATTCCTGCTTCAATTCCAACAGCTGTGCTTGAGGTAGAGCATCTCTTCTGAAAGCAGCCAAACTTCACTGACCCGTTTCCAGGGATGGCGAACCCACTACAGCTGTCCCAATGGTTAGTGGCCCTGATTGTTCCAGCTCGGCACCTTATTTCTAGTCCGAATTTGTCTAGCTTCAGCTTCCACCCATTGCACTGTGGTAGACTGGTTAGCCAAACATCTGTTCCCCATGGAGATATTTACAGATGTAATCAAATTACCCCCGACCTGCAGTAATGACAAGGAGCTCAGGCTCTTTAGCTTGAGTCTCTCAATATAAAGTATTGGAAAATAAGGCCTTAATCTTTCTCAGGGATCTTCTCTGAGCACCCTCCAATTTTTCCAGTTCTTTCTCGGCTTGTGGACAGCAAGACTCTACCCAGTGTATTTGGCACTAGTGTAACAACGAGAGAGAATAACCTACTCCTTAAGATTCCCATTTCTACATCCAAAGATTGCATTAGTCCTTGCAA